GCTGATACTGTAACAGAGGCTGTTCGTACTATTGTATGAACACCAATAGATTAAGTAGTTTTTCTTGTATTCTTGTTTAGCTTTTGATCCTCTTTGCTAAGAGTTTTTTACTCTCACTGCAATAAAAGAAATTTTTTTAGTGTTTGAATGACTGTTTTACTTGTCTCTGTTCCAGGCATGTATCCTAAAGAACCAAGCTCCTGAATTGTGTTTCTATCAATGCTTTTGTATCAACCTGTGAAAAACCTTTCTGATAACGTTGTCCCTGAGAGAAAGGTGACAGGATTAGGGGGAACTTGTGCTGACATGTAGTTACAGGTGTTTTCATGTTTAGGGAGGTTGTTTATGGTTTACATTTCTTTTCTTTTCTTAGAAAGAGTAAAACTTCTCCTTTGGCCTGTGTGCAAGCAGAGCTCTTAGGAGAGCAGGTGGGAGATGGTGCCATGGGGCTGGAACATCCAACTGCAGAGCTCAAAGTCTAATGCAAGAAGGGGAATGTCAGTCCAAGATGGGCCATGTCAGAACTGGTGAGACTGGGGGGTGAGGAGCAAGGCTGATCATACAGGGTCAATCTGGGTCTCCTGAGGAGACACTCAGCATCAAGATCACTTGGAGAACACCTCTGTCACCTCTCTTCTGAGCTGGAATTAAAAAGAAGAAGAAGAAAACAAAAAGGTATAAACTTTGAAGACTTGTTTTGAAATAGCTTCGAAGAAAATTAAAGGAAGACAAAAAGATCACAAGGGATTTCTGGATTTTGATGACCTCCATGGTGTATTTGGAGATGAATCTACCATCCCCAGGTACTGAGAGAAGATTGAAGAAGCTGGTCAGGAAGTCAGAAGCCAAAGCCCAAGTCCCTTGAAGCATTGCTGGGCCCCACTGAGGGCAGGCACTGACAAAGCCTCCCCAGGGACTCCTTCGAGCAGATCCTTGCAGGCCAGGAGTGCAGGCAGACAAAGGCTCTGGGCAGTGTCACAATGTCCCCTGATTTCATGAGACAACATTCCTAATTTACTGTCTAGACTAGATGGAAATCACAGGAAGGGCCATATTTTGTCAGGACTTGCTGACAGTGCTGGGGTCAAAACTCAGCCTCTCCACTTCCCTCTCCTAATGGACTTCTTCTTAGACATCACTTTTCCCTATGCTCATTTCAAAAGCCTTCCCAGCAATTCCCAAGCCTCTACCCGGCTCTCATCCCCTCTCTTGCTCTTATCTCTCAGAGAGCTGGGCTGATCCATCCCCCTTCCAAAAGCATGTTCCTTGGGCTGGCTCAGGGGTTCCTGCAGTCACCCCAGGCCCTGCCCAAGGCCCTCCCAACAAGGGCTGGGCCCTGGAGGCAGGGGGAGATCCCTCCCCTGGCATGGCCATTCTTCCCCAGCCCTGTCTGGCCCAGCCTCTTCCCCCTGCACACTCACCCCTGGCACAACCTGCACTGGGGCAGCATTTACTTCTTGGGCCCTTCAGAGCTAGCCCCTGGGGACACTTCTATTTTATGTGCCAGCACCAGAGCCAGCCCAGCCAGTCCTGCCCCTCATCCCCAGCCCGGCTCACTGACTCCAATTGCCCCTGGAACCCAAGAGCCAAAGGTGACACTCCCAGAGTGCAGCCCCACCCTCTGCAATGGGGCCCCAGGGGTTCCCTTTCCCAAGCAGCCCTTGCAAACCCTTGTCAGAGAGAAAATGGGGTGACTGAGTCCTGGATGCTTTTAGTAAAGAGCTCGAAACATTCCTTGGATAATGGAGAGGGGTGACTTTTTTATTCTTAACATTTCCAGTTCTCCATCTGGGGGCAGGATGTCCTCTAGGCTGATGTTTTGTTCCCTTTGGAGCGAGTGCAGCCTCAGAGGGCTGAGCCCTCTCTGGCTGGGCTTGGCCTGTCCTGGAGAGCCTCAGGCCTGGCTGGGCTGCCCCAGGCAGACGTTGCAGGAAGAAGAGCTCAGGTCGCCTGTGTCTGCTTTCCCTGGGGCTCAGCCTGTGCCCCATTCCTGCCCAGGGGCTGAGCCCACCTCTGCCTCAGGGCCTTGGGCAAAGGGCTGGCGAGGGAGAGGCCCAGGAGCCTTGGGGCCTGCCCAGCTTTCCTCCTCCCTGGGGGCTCCCAGTCCTCTTCTGACACCTTGTTGGCCCCAGGCCTTGCCGGCACCATCCCAGCGGTCTGATCCCCCTCCTTGCCCTCTCTCCAACCGCTCCTGCCTTTGATGGCAAGGCTCCATCCAAGGAAAACCCCGGTTATCAGCAATGGCACCTGTGGGACGGCTGCAAGGCTCGAGTGTGCCAGGCAAGAGCAGGAGCACAGAGAGCCTGAGGAGCCAGGAGATGCCCTGGCTGGGCATCGTGCTGCTGTGGGAAGAGCTGACCCCTCTGCACAGTCTCTGCCGTCCCTGCCAGCCAAGTTCTGCCCGGGCTCTGTGCACAGGGACGGAGCACTGACAGTTTTCAGCCCCCACACTGTTCCACAAAGGCTGGGATGGCACAAGGCCCTTGCCTGGCACCCAGGAGATGGGCAAGGCAAGGCAAGGACGGAGCCTCTGAGCCATCAGCACGCTGTCCCAAAGACTGGGATGGCACAGAAGCCCAGAATCCATGAGGTTGGCAGAGACTTCTGAGGTCAACTGGCGTCCAGCCTACGACCCATCCCCAGCACGTCAAGCAGACCACAGCACTGAGTGCCATGTCCAGTCTGTCCTTAAACACCTCCATGGACAGTGACTCCACCACCTCCCTGGGCAGCCCATGTCAATACCTAATCCCTGTTTCTGCCCCAAAATTCCTGCTCCTGTCCCTGACAAACACCCCCTGACAGGCAGGTCCTCATGTCCTCTGTATACTTTTGTGTACATCTGGTGTGTGTGATGGGTCAAAGAGGGGATCCCATGAGCAAATATGTCAGGGTTGTCTGGCATTATATTCCTAAAGGTTCTCATTCCAGGTTTAAATTCACCTTTGATCCAATAGGTGGGTGAGGGGATTCAGTTTGAGGTAAGATGGTTACATTTACTTTTGATTCCATATTTTCACAAACCCTGTGACCAGTTCCCAGGAGAGGTTCCTTTGATTTTCACTTCTAACAGTCTGTTCTGCTGAGCACATGGACAGGGTAAATAACCACACAAACAGAACTAACAGATGATAACCACAGTTACCAGTGAACTGAACCAGAGTCCAAACTTGAGGTTTTCAGTCCCAGTTGTGAATCCTTTTCTCCGTTGGACAGCTACCTGTAAAAGAAAAGAAAAAGGTCTGTCCAGCCCCTTTAGGGCCAACATTAAAATGTAGGAACAATCCCCCAAGAGTTTATTTTGTGTTCTTTGCCATTAGCATCTTTTGCTTTCCAGGTGTCCCTGTCCAAGGGAGGACCATTGGTACAGCTCCTACAGAAGGCAGTGCCACCAATACAGGCTGGCCAGGAAGGGGAGAGGGGTTTTGATCACCCTCAGGCCTCAGTGCACCCTTTGAACACAGCAAAAGAATCCCTGTAAACATATACAGAGTCAGAGGTTTCAGCTTCCTGGTTAAATCCCCTCCAAACTGCTCCTGATTCTCCTGCCTGTGCCCTGCCTTCTCCTAGGGGACTGTTTTGTCTCCTGGATGTCCCTGTAAAACCACAGCATGATATTTCCAAACTGCCCCTTCCCGCTCAGCTGAGGCATCAGGAAACCCCCCATCCTGCAATTGCTCTGAGTGTGGGGGTGCCCCTTGAACCACAGAAGGGGGAGAATCAGTTGTGCTATTTACAGTCATTTCACCTTGTCTTGTCAGGGAGGATTTTTGTGAGCTCCTTCTCTTCCCTGAAAGATGGTGCAATAATGTTCAATTTGAGCCTCCCATTTCCCAACAGGAGCTGGCTGGGCCACCCCCTCAGGGGGTGGGGTTCCTGTCAGAACAGGCTGATGGCCTGAAAAGGTCCCCTTAAAATCAGACACTGATGAGGGACAATTTTTTCTGCTTCCCATAAATAAGCCCTTTTCCCAGGGAGAATATCGTTTTTGGGCATCTTTGACACTGCATGAATAAAATCCCACAGGCCTGGTGGGGAAGAGGACGGTCATGCCCCAGTGTGGATGCGCTGGTGTTGGATCATGCCCAAACACCTCATAAAAGAGCTCTCATCATGAAAGCTCTGTCTTCATAACACCCTTACCTGTCATAATGGTGCTGTCCTCATAAGCCCATAAACCTCACAAGAGGCTCTCCTCACAAACTCCATCCCTCTCACAATGCGGCAGCCTCAGAAGGTCTCTCTGCTCATAGAACCCATCCACCCAAGAATGGTGCAGCCTCATAAAGGGACTGTCCTCATAACCCTCACACACCTCACAACAGTGCAGGCCTCATAAAGCCCATAAACCTCTTCATGGGGCTGTCATCATAAAGGAGATGTTCTCATAAATGCCATAAACCTCATAAAGGCTCTGTCCTCATAAAGCCTGTGCACCTCAGAGGGGCAAACATCATAAAGGCTCTGCCTTCATAAACACCATAAATGTCATAAAAGCTCTGTCCTCATAAAGCCCATACACCTCATGATAGAGCTCTCATCATAAAAGATCTCTCTGTATAAAGCCCATGCAGGTCATAATGGTTCTGTCCTCAGAAAGCCCATACACCTCATAAAAGGCTCTCCTCATAAAGGTCATGTCCTCAAAAACCCCATAAACGTTGTTCCCTAAAAGGTTGCAGAGGAAAAGACTTCAGACCCAACTGGGTAGGAGATCAGACAAGCAGCAAAGGTTTTCAGGAGGCTCCAGGAATACAAACCCACACCCATCCCTTCCAACGCAGGGGTTACAGTTTTTATAATGATTTCCACCCAATGCCCGTCCCGTCCCCGCCCCGGTTCTGCCCCGCTCTGCCCCAGGAACGCCCGTGGGGAATTGAGTCTGGGGGAGTTTGGAGCTTTGAGCCGCTGCAACTACAACTCCCGGCGTGCCCCGCGCGGAAAAGGGGGCGGGGCGAGGTCTCTGCCGGCGGTGCGCGCGCACAGCCCCGCGGTGGCTGCCGGGAAAGCGATGGCGGCGAGAGCGAGATCTGCTCCGACTTTGTGAGCCCTGGCGGGGGCTGCGGCGGGGCTGGGGATGCGCTCGGGGGCTGCGGGGAGCGCGGCTGTGGGCGGGAAGGCTAGAGGGCTCGGCAGAGTGGAGAGGAGGGGCTCCGGGGTTCCCGATGAGGTTTTGAGGTCCGTGAGGGGCTGTCGGGGGGGGGATTTGGTGTCCTGATGGCGCTCAGAGGGGAGGGTGAAGGTGCCTGAAGGGGTTTAGGGGGTCCCTGAAAGGGCTGGGGGCCTCGGAACCCTCCTGGGGGGGGCTGTTTAAATGCCATGGCTGCACTGCGCAGGCGCCGGCGGAGTTTCCACGAGAGAACTTCAACTCCCATAAGTCCCTGCGCGGCGCCGCCATTGCCGCTCGTGCCACAGCGCCGCCGTCCGGCTGGGCAAACCGACCGCAGGAAAAGCGGGTCCTGATGCCCCCCCGAACCCCAGAGACCCCCAAAACTCAGCACACAGAGACCCCACAGGGAGGGGGACTCAGGGGGTTCCTAAAGCCTATCGGTGGGGTTCAGGGGGTCCCCGAGCCCTCAGGGGAGGGGTCCTGACGGTGCCACCCAAAGTCTTGGGAGGACATGAACCACATGCGGGTAAGGGGATCCCAGTGCCCCCAGTATAGCCCAGTGACCTCCCAGTGGCTCTCAGTATGGCCCACTAACCCCCCCAGTGACCACCCAGTGTTTCCCAGTGACCTCCTACTGCCCCCCCGTATGGCCCAATGATCCTCCAGTGAGCACCCAGTAACCCCCAGTAAGGCCCAGTAACCTCCCAGTGTTCCCCCGTGTGTCCTGGTAATCCCCCAGTAATCTCCTAGTGCCCTCCCAGCATCATTCAATAATCCCCCAGTCCCTCCCAGTGCCCCCTGGTTCCCTCCAGTGTGTCCCAGTATCCTCCAGCAATCACCCAGTGCCCCCCAAAGCCCCCTAATTGTCCCCAACGTGTCTCCACATGTCTTTGAATTTTCTATGAGTGTGAAGGGGGAATGGTCTGTGGTCAGAGGGTCCAGAGGGGGCTTCTGGGGGATGATAGAGTGCTGGAAACATTTGGGATGGGGTTTGGGAACAGTGGAATTGTGGGCATCAAGGGGGGAATTGGGGCCATGGGGAGGCTCTGAGGACATTGGGGACACCAGGGTGGTCTCAGGACTCACCTGCTTGTGGTGCTGCCCCTCCTCTCCCACCCAGGTGTCCCTGAGCAATGGCCTGGAGGTGAACCCAGAGCTGGCCCTGAGGTGGCCCTGAGAAGAAGTGGAAGGCAGAGGTGGTGCTGAGGCAGGAGAGCCCCGTGCTGGGGAAGAGGCTGAGCTGGGACTGCCCAGCAGCGAGAAGGTGCTGTGTGCATGCCCTGTGTGCCAGGTGAGCTGGGGCTTTGCTGCAGAGCTGCGGGCGCTGATTGGAGCGGCTGCAGCTGCTGAGCTGGTGGCACCCAGGCCACGGAGCCTGCAGGGAGGAGCAGGGACAGGGTCAGGGGAGCACTTGGGGGCCGGGAACCTCTTGGCTGGGGCAGGAAAGAGCCGCTGGCCACGAGGACGGGGTGTTGGTCCCAGCCACTGATGGGGCCGAGCAGAGCATGAAGCCTCTTCGGCCACCTCATGGGATGACACTGTCCCCTCCCTGCAGGACACTGCCTTAAATCTTTGGGGGGACCTTTTGTGTCTATTGCTGGTTGCTACTTCATCCTGGGGACCTGAGGGCCCCTCTGCAATCCCATCCCTGGGGCACAATCTGCTCTCCAGAGCTCGACTGACTCCATGAAGACTTTGCAGGGAAATCTGTGCTAGCAGCCCAAGGATGTCACGACCCCCCGTGCTCCCCCAAGGCTATTTGGGACAAGTTCCCCCTTCCTGGGGGAATATCTGGGAAGGTGGCACCCCCAAAAGCGAGAGTCAGAGAATGGACCCTTTGGACCCCCAACACTCCCAGCATCCTGAAGTGGAACCCCTGACATCCCAGACAGGGGAGACCCTGTAAACCCCAGAGGGGAGAGACCAGAGAGGGGGAACACCTGGGACAATTGTTTTGGCGTGAATCTTCATGTTTTGGATGAACCTTAACTTTCGGAAGATTCCAAGGGGATTCATCTCACTATTTCTGAGGTTTTTTACCTCAAACTCAGTGGTTTTGGGTTTTCTCGCTGAATCAGTGCTTTAGGTTTTTCTGGGCTGAATCGTTATGTTTTGGAGGTTTTTATGGTCCCAGGATGCCTGGTGAGTCCTAGGGATGGACTTGGGCAGGAGGAACCCCCAAGCCAATGCACTCAGCCCTTGTTTCTTCCCCAGCAGGATTTGTCCTTCCCAAAGCTTGGGTGGATGGAGGAGGAGGATTTGAGGAAGAGGAAAAGGCTGCGGGCCCCCCAGGCAGGTGAGGAGGAAGTCAGTGCCCCTTTGGCCCTTTCTTGTGGTGCCTGTGGGGGCCAAATTTGGGGGGGATGTGCTTGGCCTTCCCTCTGGGCCTGAGGCAAATCCCCTGCCTGTCCTTCTTCCTTCCTGCCCCAGGCCCCGAGCTGAGGACGGAGAGCACGGAGGACAAATCCCCCCGGCAGAGCCTGGTGGGAGAGGCCGTTTTGAAGGGCTGCCCGGTGCAGGAAGGCAGCGGGGAGGAAAAGGCCTGGAGATGCAAAGCCAGCCCAGGGAGCTCTGAGGAGGAAAGACCCGTCCTGTGCCAGGAAGGCGGCCGGAGCTTGAGCCGGAGCTCCGAGCTGGTGGTCCCTGAGCAGCCTCCCAGCAGGGAGAAGCCCTTCAGGTGCTTGGAATGTGGGAAGAGCTTCAGCCAGAGCTGGAACCTCCTCACCCACCAGCACATCCACACTGGGGAACGGCCCTACACGTGTAGGGAATGTGGGAAGAGCTTTAGGGACAGCTCCTACCTCCGTTCCCACCAGCTCATCCACACTGGGGAATGGCCCTACAAGTGCTTGGAATGTGGGAAAAGGTTTCGGACAAGCTCCAATCTCCTCCTGCATGAGCGGATACACACAGATGAGAGGCCCTTCTGCTGCACCGACTGCGGGAAGGGCTTCAACCGAAAATTCACCCTCGTCACCCACCGGCGCATCCACACCGGGGAGAGGCCCTACAAGTGTGGGGAGTGTGGGAAGAGCTTCACCTGCAGCTCTGCCTTGAACAGACACCAACGGACCCACCAGTAAGGGAAGCCCTACGAGTGCCTGGACTGCGGGACGAGCTTTGGCCGCTGCTCCCACCCTGAATGACCCCCTGATGGTGAGGGAACCCCTGGAGTCCAGTGACTGTTGATCCCTCCCTTTCTACCAGAAAGGGTCAGTCCCCTTTGCCAGGGGCAGGTTCTGCCAACAGAACCCTTCTTGGGGGGTGTGTGGAGATTCCTGCCTTGGCTGGGACCCCCCAAGGTCACTGCTGGAGGTTGAGAGCAGAGATCTCCCCACGAGCGTTGTTCTGGGGGAGTTCCATCCCTCTCTAATTCATAATTCTTGCTTTGCTGCCAGCTTGAGTAGAATTGCTTCAACAGTTGCTTTAGTGTAGAGCACTGTCCCATCTTATCCTGTACTACTGGTAGTTTTGGTGTTTCTGTTGTGCAGTAAATAATTCTGATGAAGATCTTTTGTCTGATCATTTGTAACCCTAAATAATTAATTTCTATCAATAGATCTGATTTGCCATCATTAAAATATGGGAAATAAAAGTGTTTCCCACCTCTGTAATTCTTCTGAACTGAAACTGTTGACATAACCCAGCAGCCCCCAGCACCCCACAGTAATGTGGGAGCTCAGGGGGCCACCCCCTTTTCCAAGGCACCCTGTTCCCAAACACCCTCATGGGACCATCGGACCTGCCAGACCACTCCCCCTTTTCCACCCTTCTCCCTGTTCCTCCCACTTTTCCATGGTCCCCTGTTACAATCTGCTTAAATATTGCAGAAAGAACTTCAGATTTGAATATTCCCTTGAGCAAAACTAAAACTCACACAAGTTATCTGTTGATACCAAAAACTGATTTTTATTAATTGCTAAGAGATACAAAGAGAATAAGGAAAAAATAAGAAAAGGTTGGAAACTGCTAAGATTATTTCTAGAAGTAGAGAAAAGATACCACCGAAAACTTTCTTCTCCCACTGAGCTGGTCTGTGTGTGTGGGGAGAAGCAGTTTCTGCCTTTTTTCCTCTGTCCCTGCAGCTTTTGGATGTTATTTCTGTAGCTGCAGGGGTCTGACAGCTTTAGTTCTCTGCAATGCACCATGTGTGGTTTCACCGCTCACACCCCTGTCCCAGGCCGTGCAGGGTCTCAGCTCAGCCAAAGCTTTGGGCCCTCAGAAATATGGTCAGGGTAGAAGGATAAGGTAGAACTCCCACATGTGGCACGGTGGTCTCAGCTCTCTCCAGGCTGGCACAGTTCCAGTCTCCGGTGGCAGGCAGGCAGCACGCGGTGGCGGAGAAAAGGTGAGGGGAGGTGGGCAGAGATTCTCGGCTACAGTCACCAGTTCTCTCTCCCTTTCCTCTCCCTGATTTTCCAAAATTTGTCCTCAACTTTTCTAGTGTTCACAGGAGGTTGAACATGGTTTCTTGGCACGTAGCCAGTTCAGATGTTATGAGGAGATATGATAACCATAAACATATAACAGGATTTTTTGGCAGGAAAAGTGCCATGGGAAGTCCTGGTGAGAACTTCTTTCAGAGAGCTGACAGAGAATGTTTGATAGAAAGATTTTGACAGGCAGAAACAATTTTTGGCATTTCTGTATTATCTGTGTGTTACAGATGGTTGTCATGGTAAGCGACACATCAATAAGAATGCTTAATGGTTGCCGTATTAACCGCCCCTAGCAATGTAAATTCACAATGGTTGCCATGGTAACCGAGATAACAATGAGACTGCATAATGGTTGCTGTGGTAGCTGACCATAACAATGAGAATAAATAATAGAGTCCATGGTAAGCGACATAACAATGGGAATTGCCATGATGACCCAGGTAACAATGGGAATGCAGAACGGTTGCCAGGGTAACAGAGGTAACAAAATGCATAATGGTTGCCATGGTGTAAGGGGGGGTAGTTTTGATTCAGGTGATCAATGGAGCATAGAGGGGTGAGAAAGTGATTATATTCACATATGAAACCAGCCAGAATATTGTAGAATGTAACTTTATGGCACAAGTTCACTGTAGGGCCCATTGTGCCTTTAGCAAAGTTAACTGGACGTCCCCCATTATCATACCTGAGTTCCTCCTTGGCTTGGCTCCACCCTGCAAGAGAGATACAAATCCCCTTGGAACACAATGGTACAGGTCGTCCATAGGGCTGAGGAAGGTGATGGAGAGGAAGATGATGTGGGCAGGGGTCGTTGACCCCTTGCCCTACAGTGGGGCACGCCCAGACTGTTGCCATGAGGTGATGAACGGGCGCTGTTTGGCTGCCACTCAAGCACCACCTTCTGCTGCATCCTGGTCCTACGTAGTGTAATGTAGAGCTGATGGAATGGGGTGTCAGCACTGCTGGGTGGAGCGATGCTCATCCTTCCATCCACACTGTGCTGCTCCGCGGGGACACCCGCCAAGCACGGGCACCAACCAGCCCTGCAGACCCTGGTAGGCCTGGGCTGTCTGTGCAGGTGAGCACAGTTTATTGATAGGAAGCAAGAGGCAAAGCAAACGTTTTATATCCTTTTTCTTGTATCCCTTTAATTCCCTTTTTACTAGCTAATGCTGTAACAGAGGCTGTTCGTGGTATTGTATGAATGCCAATAGATAAAGTAGGTTTTTTGTATTCTTTTTAAGCTTTTGATTCTCTTTGCTAATAGTTCTTTTTACTCTCACTGCAACAAAAGATATTTTGTAGTGTTTGAATGACTGTTGTACTTGTCTTTATTCCAGACGTATTCTTGTGAACCTGGTACAGACAGTGATGTCATGGTTGCCCCTGTGATGTCACCAGTGTCACTGATGATGTCACAGGTGTCTCTGTGATGGCACCCTTGTCCTTGTGAAGTCACCGATGTCCCCAGTGATGGCACTGATGTCCATGTGTGGAGTGCTTAGCTGAAAAAAGACACAAAATGGACAAACCATATAATTGGCCTCAGTTAGACCTGCCCCTGACATAGCCAGAAGCCTCTTTGCAGGCAGTGGAAAGATACAGGAGCAGTGATAACAGATTGCAGGAATGTAAACAAAGAGAAACCTGTGACAAAAATAAGGAGGAGTTTTAGGAGAAAAACAATGTCTTCATATTGCGTGGACATCTGTGTGCACCCAATAGTGTGTCAGTAATGCATGCTCGGTTCGTGGGTTACAGCAAATAACCAATAGTTTGAAGGTGATCATGCCCTGGGGGGCAGTGAAAGTATATAAGAGGTGGGGTTATGTAAATAAAGAGGAACATTTGAGTAAATCATCCTGATTTGTGTGCAGTTTGTTCTGGAAACTCCTCCGCCAACATCCACGTTATATCACAGCTGTCCCTTTGTTGTCACCAGTCCCCTGTGACGTCACTTGTCCTTAATGATGTCACCAATGTCCCTGTGATGACACCTCTGTCCCCTGTGATGTCACCGATAGCCCTATGACATCACGACTGTCCCATTGTGGTCACCAATCCCCTGTGACTGGTCCCCAGTGATGTCACTACTGTCCCTGTGATGTCACCAGTGTTACCGATAATGTCAGTGGTGTCTCTGCAATGTCACCTCTGTCCTTGTGACATCACTGCTGTCCCCAATGGTGTCACTGATGTCCTTGGGAGATCAAGGCTGCCCCTTTGTTGTCACCAGTCTACTGTACTGTCACTGGTCCACAATGATGTCAGTGCTGTCCCTGTCATGTCACCACTCTCCCCTGTGATGTCACCAATGTCCCCCATGATATCACTGGTGTCTTGGTGTTGTTATTCAGGTCCCCTGTGATGTCACTGATGTCCCTGTGACATCACGGCTTTCCCTTTGTTGTCACCAGTCCCCAGTGATATTTCTGTTCCCCAGTGATGCCATTGCTGTCTCTGCAATGTCACCACTGTCTTCAACGGTAGCACCATGTCCTCGTGATGTCACCAATGTCCCTGTGATGTCACTGATGTCCCTCTGACATCATGGCTTTCCATTTGTTGGCAACAGTCACCTATGATTTCACAGGTTCCCCTGTGATGTCACCACTGTCCCATGTGATGTCACCAATGTCCCCAATGATATAATTGGTGTCTCTGTGTTGTCACCTCCACCCCATGTGATGTCACCAATGTCTCTGTGACATCACGGCTTTCCCATTGCTGTAAGCAGTCCCTTGTGACGTCACTGTTCTCCAGTGATGTCACTGCTGTCCCGATGATATCACCACTGTCCCCAGTAGTGCCACCATGTTCCTGTGGTGTCACTGATGTCCCCAGTGATGTTACCAGACCCCTGTGATGTCACGGATGGCTTTGTGCCATCACTGCTGTCCCTTTGTTCTCAACACTCCCCTGTGATGTCACTGACCTCCAGTGATGTCACTGACTTTCCTGTGATGTCACCCCGTCCCCTCTGATGTCACTGATGTCCCTGACATTGTCACTGGTGTCACTGTGATGTCACCCCTGTCCTTGTGAAGTCCCTGAAGTCCGCTGTGATGTCACCAATGTCCCTGTGACATCACGGTTGTCCCTTTGTTTTCAATAGTCCTCTGTTATGTCACTGGTCCCCAGTGATGTCACCTTTGTCTCTGTGATGTCACCACTGTCCCCAGTGGTGGCACCCTGTCCCCGTGATGTCACCAATATCCCTGTGATGTCACTAGACCTCTGTCATGTCATCCATTTCCCTGTGACATCACAGCTGTCCCTTTCTTGTTACCAGTCCCCTGGGATGTCACTGGTCCCCAATGATATCACCCATGTCTATGTGATGTCACCACTGTCCCCTGCGGTGTCACCAATGTCCAGTGATGTCATTGCTTTCTCTACAATGTCACCCTTGTCCTTGTGAAGTCACCAATATCCCTAGTGTTGTGACCGATGTCCCTGTGATGTCACCAGTGTCACTGATGATGTCACTGGTGTCTCTGTGATGTCATCCCTTGCCTTGTGAAGGTACTGATGTCCCTGTGACATCACGGCTTTCCCATTGTTGTCACCAGTCCTCTGTTATTTCACTGGTTTCCCGTGATGTCACCACTGTCTTTGTGATGTCCCCACTGTCCCCAGCGGTGGCTCCATGTCCCCATGATGTCACTGATTTCCCTATGACATCAGGACTTTCTGTTTTTGTCACCAGTCCCCTCTGATGTCACTGGTCCACAAAGATTTCTTTGCTGTCCCTGTGATGTCACCACTGTCCCCAATGATGTCACTGGTGTCTCTATGATGTCAACCCTCTCCTTGTGAATTTACCCATATCCCAGTGACATCACAGCTGTCCCTTTGTTGTCAACATTCTCCTGTGATGTCACTGGTCCCCAGTAATGTCACTGCTGTCGCTGTGATTTCACCACTGTCCCCAAGAGTGCCACCCTTTCCCTTTGATGTGACCGATGTCCCTGTGATGTCACCATACCCCTGTGATGTCACCAATGTCCCTGTGACATCACTGCTGTCCCTCTTTCTTCACTCCTATGTCACTGGTCCCCAATGATCC